CAGTACAAGTATATTCAAGTGTATAAATCCCAGAAATCTCATGGTAACAAATCACAAATATGAAAAATAGTAAAGAAATAAATGAATGTGCTTCTATGCAAATGTTGAAAACGTGTTGCAGACGTTCCACTGGGTGAAAAATCCCATCATGCACCTGAACCTGTGACTCAATAAAACAAGGATCCAACAAATCATACGAGAGACATCAACAATAAAACTTTACACGCTGGAGGATCAGTGTCGGCATCAGGTTGTTGGATATTCATGTGCAGTGGATTATCGTGTCTTTAGCTGAGACACCAGTCGTTCCTCCACCGACAGGAAATCGACCTCGGAGGTGAAGCGATGATGATCTGTGTTTTCTCTAATATCCAGATGGGAAATAGTCCCGCCCCCTGCTGTTTGACTGACAGAAGTCATTAACTTAGCTTAGCATAGCAAAGACTAGCAACACACAAACACTAGCACCTCTGAAGATTAGTGAGGTTTTAAATGATGAAAGATCGTGTTTGTTAAAAACAAAACTTTTGTTAGTTTTCGTCTAATTGTACAAAACGTTCACAAACGTTCACTTTACGTTGACACAGATACGTTTGGTTTGATAAACCCGGGGCTGAAGCTTTTACAGCTTCACGTAAGCGTCACTCTTATTAGACCGGCTCGATGGAGGCAACACAGCTGGATGTCTGCACTGGAGCCTGGAGACGTCTACATGTGGTTTTGACTCTGAACAGGACAACAGGCAGGAAAGTTCCGGGCTGCTGAAGTTACGACGAGGTCTTTGGACGAGGCGGGCGGAGCCTGGAGCGCTGTTTTGCCTTTGGATGCCAGGTTTCGGACACTTGCTCTGGGCCGAGATGTTGTTGGCGGCTGTTGAACAGTGAGGGACGGTTTGTGAGGATCTGGACGGACGGGAAGACGTCGGCCGGTCCTGCTGACAGACCACAGAACTGAGCTCATGTCCCAGGTCGGACATGAGGACGGGTCTCTGGCTCTGCTGATCCAACATGTGGTTGGTGACTGGGTCTGTATACAACATGAGAGACTGACGCTCTGACAGATCATTGTCTGTGTTTTCATCTGTCACCTGATGAGTCACAGCCGGAGAACCTGTGTGAAGACAAACCCAGAGAGGACGTGAGGGACGGGCTTTATATACAGTCAGTCTTTATATACAGTCACTGATCGTCTTTATATACAGCCACTGATCATCTTTATATACAGTTTGAATATTCAGTAGTAACTCACATTTTTTCCATATGATGACTCCAATAAACAGCAGAAATAAAATTGCTCCTCCGGCAACGAAGCAGGAAGTTAAACTGCAGGACGTCGAGCAGGCGACTGAAATCACAACACAGAAAATGAACTTCTTGACTCG